CGAGTGTAAGTTTGCCTCTTGCCAAACTGCTACAAACAGCATTGCTTCCAGCTCTGGCCAGGTGCCTGCCCTGAACAGAGGATCCCTTTCAGTATGATTATGACTTAACCCATTTTGAGTGGGGCGAGGAACTCAGAGATGGCCTGTGGTTAGCTGCCCTCCTGCAGCTGGCCAAGCACGCGTTAGAACAGCAAGCTAGTTTCTGACCCCACATTTATGCAGTGTCGTGGCTGCTTTGCAGACATACACCTAGCATGAGATGGCAAGTCCCATTTGCACTCTCTCAGACTCTACTTCGGTAACTTCTTGCCCTCAGATTAAAAAGCCAAGTCTTTTACCAACACAACAGAACTACAGCACTGTGCAGTAATGCTGGTATTACGTTACAATTCAAGTGTGTCCAGAGAGTGTGTGGAGCTAATATTCTCTGGGGCTTTTACCAGAAGAAGTCTCAAAGATTAGGATTAGACTATTTTACATGTGTGCCTGGTATCTTTCTTCATGAAGGTTTCTGGGACTGTTGGCAACAGCACCCGTGAAACTCACCGCCCTGGGGCTGGGGAAAGCCAATGCACCACACGGTACAGAGCAGAGAGGAGATGACACCCAGGCAATCTCCTATTCCTGTAGGAAGCGCCGCAGGAACCTAATGCCTCTGCAGCACAAACAGGAGCTCAGCAGCAGACGGCTGGGGTAAGCCGGACGGATCAAGTGAAGCAATCGCTGCCAGGTGACAGTGAGGGTATTGTTCTTAACTCACCTCCTCTTTCCCTCACCACATCCCTCCCTTCTCCAGGAAAAAACAGTCCCGAGATGGTTTGAACCTCTGTAGGCCGTCTCCCACCACTGGCCAGCGAGACACAGCAGCACCAAACAGCAACAGGCACCTTGTGCTCGGCCCTGGAGGGCACTTACCAGTATGAAGGACGCCCAGAAAACAAAGCACCTGGAAGCTCCTCATGGTGCAGACGAGGCAGCTCCACACTCCCCAGCCTGCCGAGTCCTGCGCTCTGTGAGCAGGGGCCAGGCCCAGTCTGCTCGTCCACGGCAATCAGTAGCCCGAGGCCAGGGTTGCCCTGCTTAATGGTCCGCAGTTACCCCCACACGCTTCTGGGAGACAGGAGGTGAAGGCTCCTGTTCAGCTTGCTGCAGTCCTGGGCAGGAACTGAAGCTGGGAATCCAGAGCACCTGGGACGGAGCCCGGCACTGCCCCCTCGGCAGCACCACCTGCTGGGGAAGAGCCGGGCCAAGCAGCACACTGGTGCTCAGCGTAGTCGTGAAACACACTTGCTTCAGGGGTTTCTTTTTCTGAGTGCAGGAACTGCGAGAGCCCATTGACTTTAAGGCAGCGCGCACGTGGGCCTTGCCGCAACCACGTCCAGCTACGCCTCTCCTTTGAGCCACCCACGAGTCACTGGTGGCACTGTGCCAGGAACAGAACAATGAACACAATTATGTTAAAAATGAAACAGCCAATAAATCAACTTTACCTTAACAACACCCGATGCCCAAACAAGCTCTCCTGCTCCCTCATGGCTCTGGCGGCTCTGCTCTGAATCCTAGCCATTTTACGTCTCCTGAACTACGCACATGGGCCCTGGGCAGTAATGGTTGTTGCACTTGGGCCAAACCCAAAGGTAATAGCAGATCCTCTCCCCGCTACTTGGTCTTCTCCTCTGGACGACACCCTCCAAGGGTCACATAGCTCTGTAGGTTGCTGGGAGCTCAGGTTCAGATGATTATTCCCCTGCCATGACCTTGAGTCATTTTTACTGTGGGTGCTTCCTAAGAATTGCCCCCTGCTTCTGATTTACTGGGTGCCTGGAGCAAAGTTACTTCCCTGTTTCCATTCAGCAGCGGCATAACGGAACTACAACTTACTGCAGCTCCCTGGCAGGGCGCCGAGAGGGGCTCTCTGTGGTTGTTTGTCGAGTGCTTTCTTATTTGTTGCTTGGGAGGGGTATTGCAATCAATTGGTGGAGATGGGCAGACCATGCTGTGCAAGTTTTTGTTTTGTCGTTGTGCTCCCCCAGAGTTCCCTCTTTCCAATTCAAGCATTTATCCTTGTGAATTTATCCTCCTTTTAATAGCCAAATGAAAGAGCAGCTGTCAGACATGCCATGCCCCAACACACAGAATTACCCCTTCTCCTGACACCAGCTGTCCCCCCACTCAACAGGAGCTGAGGCTGAAGCCCTACTGGTCAGCATCCTCCTCCTGGACAAGGCAGCCACATCGCATTGGGGTGTGTGCTAACAGTAATGCTCATCTGAAGCCCCTTTCCCCTGGAATCTCAGCCCCACACCCGTGCTTGGCTCCCGGGGAACAACACCACCTGAAGGACAACAGTCTCCCAAGACCCTGCCTCTATACACATCTGGTCATAGCCAAAGTAATAGCCTCTCGTTTCTGAGCATTTGCTTGCATACTGACAAAAAGGCCTTGGACGGTTAGACATAACTGCACCACCAAGTAAGATGTACTATTGTGACATGCAATTAATTCATGCCAAGGGCAAGTTCTCTACTCCTCCAACGGTGTATGTATATGTGCGCGCTTGTACGCATGCACACGCGAGTGGGAGTCCAACCTCAGTCCAGCATCTGCTGGCAGAGCCTGAAGAACAAGGGCTCCAGCAGGGGGGAACAAGTTACAAGACATATCCATCCACCAGCTCCCTGTGAACAGTCTTCCTTTCACGGGGAAGACACAGCCAGGCTTCCTGCCACAGAGACTGGCCACTCCTGACTGGACCGGGACCGGAGGAGAAAAGGGCATTCCGAGAGCAGATCCACATCCCACGACCTCTGCAAAAGGAAGGCCGAGATTTCCTTTCCCTAGCGAACAAAAGGGCTGCATGGAGCCCATGCGACAGGCTGCCTCAAGCAGGCTGTTGGCCCAAGGTAAGGGTGTTCGCTGCTCACAGAAATGCTATGCTAAGTGGTAATTAGCTCAGTTCTCTACTTCATCTCCTGCCATCTATCTGCTCATGACCCCTGCCCCTGGCACCATCACGGCTGACAGTGTCACACCAAGGGAAAGGGAGGTTTTCAGGCTGGAGGTTGAACAGAATCTTCTCCCCCAAATGTCAGTTTTCATCAGCTTATTGTTGCTTCACATTTGTGGTGGGAGCAGAACTCAGCAGCCAAAGGCAAACCTATTTTTTGATCTTCAGAAGAGGCTAGCAACCTTCCAGAGAAGGGCACTGCAAGTATCTGGTCAGAGATGAGCAAACTGGTTCTACAGCTGCAAGGTGGCCTAACTCACATGTGAGGCTGTAATGGTAAAAAGGCCCAACAACAAGCATCAAAAAGAGAATTATTTTGCTAAAGGCACAATCGTAACTTGATTCTGACTGGAACAATCTGCAGCAGAAAAAAGAACACGTGAAAACGTTCAGAAGCCGGGATGAGTTTGATAGCTCCAAATCAACTGGAAGAGGAGATGAGATAGAAAACAATGCTTGTACTGGCACTAGATTACAGCTTTGCAATGAGCATCATTTTCAGTTCACCCAAGTAGTAAAACAACTGATTCTCTTCATCCTTCAAGAGTACTGAGGTGCAAGGTATGGAGGCATCCTGAAGAGCCCTGTCCAGCCTTCCTTTGGAAGCAGCGCCCCCGCCCCCAGGCAGCCAAGACTGGGAGGTATGAGGGGCTGGCAGGAAAAGAACAAGCCGAAGGTGGGTGGCTCCTACCTTGGAAGGGAGCAGGCTGGGTTCAGCTTGGACTCTCCTTTCAGTAGGGCAGAACAGTCCTCAGTGAGCTGCCTGCCATTCACGTTATCCAACGACTGCTGAACACAAGGGGCAGTGGCCCCCCGTCAAAAGGAGGGTGGGATGTGGGCCTGGGAAGTGCCTCATGTGGCTCGCTCACAGCTGCACTGCACAGGGAAGCTGGAGACATGCAGGTTCAAACTCCTCGAACGAAAGGGTCCTGACCTCAGGTCTCCATCTTCCCAGACGAGTGCCTTGACCACTCAGCTGTCTTTGCTGGGATAGGACTCAGGCGCATGGATACATAGCAACGTATGTGCACAGCACATACATACTCTATACACACAGGCTTACACACTCAGAGCATAAAGTGGAAGCCAAAAAAACATCCAGGGAGATGGCTACAAAATGGCCACTAGACATGCAGAAGGAAACGGACTTCCACCCCCAAACTAGCACCTGGCAAATGCTTAGAAGAGCATCATGGGAATTGCTGAAATACGCTCATCCTTTTATACAGAAGTGGGGAAGAGGGTCGAACTCAAGTTCTCCCACCTCCGTAATTCCTTCAGCAAAACGGTAGTGTGGTTGGACTGCTGTAGCCGTGATGGTCCAGGAAACGTGGTTTCAGGATATCTTTTATTGGACCTATTGTAGAAAAACTTACCTTAAAGAAATAATCACAAAGATGGCTAGCTTTCCAGGGAAAAATATGTAACATAAAAAAAAATCTCCTTCAGAGTATTACACACATTCAGTTTGGGGGACCACAAAAGGGTTGCTGAGAAGCTGAGTTTAGAACCCAGATCCTTTTAATGCATCTCAACTTGTGCACCCAACATCCATAGTTACTTTTCAATAATTTGATCCTCAGACAGAAGGCTTCAGAAAAATCAATGTATTTCTGGTTCGTGTAATTAATGTGGTATCAATTTGAGAATACTTTCTAGTGGCAGAAGCAGAATAACTCATAAAAATACAGAGCAGAACGTGTATTCCCTGCCTTCACAGGGCAGAACTAAGACGGATCCTTTTCATCACCACGACACACTGACGTTCCCTTACCTTGCACATTCTGCAGCACTTTGTCCTCTACTGCATGTGTGACACAACTCTTCACCATAAAATGTGATCTACATTTTATATAACTATATTAAACTTCAGATACCAGTTATCAAGGTTCTTCACCACATTGTTTCTCACGTGTTCCTGCCAATTTGTTTGCAAAATTGATTTCTTAATTCTACATCCTCTTTATTCAATTAAAGACACATTTCACAAGCATTTTGTACAATAAAGTTTATTAGCTGTTCTCCTCTTTCTGACAAATGGAATAGATGTCGTTGATAGCTCTTTACAAATCAAAGCTAATTTGGTGGAGAAAATGCACCGAGGCTGTCAGAAATGCACCTCTCTTATACATAACTCCAGATACGCAATGGGCAGCACTGAGCAGTGTTGGTAATAGGTGGTATTTTTCATGACTGATGTTAGTTCTACATTTTGCTAAAAGATATTTATAATTGCTCAGCACAGATACCTGCTCTTCTCCAATGGAGAGCAGCTGTGGAACACAACACAGATGCAATCTGAGATAAACACACATAAAAACTGACTTGTTTTCTCCAAATTCTCCCATTGGTTAAAAACATGCACATCATATGGGGGGATGGGAGGGAGGCAAGAAGAAAAATCAAACATTTGAAACTTTGTAGAAAAGAGGAGAACTTGCCCATATTGTTTTTTTGCTGCTAATATCCCTCAAAATGTTTTACCCAGGTACCATACCCCGATTTCATTTTACATGATTACAGAACATAAATTCTAATTTAATCTTTATTCTCAAAACAAAAAGCTAGGAAGGAATAGGTGGTAAAAGAAAAATATATATTTAATATATATTTATATGTGTGTGTGTGTGCGCGCGCGCACAACTATGTAAAGAAAATAATTCCCATAGTTACAGAGTTTAGTTAAAGAAAGTTTAATATATATATTTTATTATAACAAAATAGGCAGTTATTGTGGGTAAAATATTCATTAAAATCTGACCCCCTAAGAACACACATAGTTTTAGGCTATGAATCTCACTTTTTGTCTCATTACCATAATGATCACCCATCTCTGCAAACATTTTCTGTATTACTGACCACGAAAATTTGCCGCCCCTTCGTAAAATGCAAACTTCCCTAGCACCTAAAGATGTTTAGGACTCAAAAAAAGTGTGATGACCATTATCTACAAACAACTTTTGTAAGACACCATAAATAGTGTTGCATGAGTGAGATTAAAAACATTAAACATCTTTATCCCTAGCAATTTTATTGGCAAAAAATGAAAAAATAGATTATAAGAATATCCTTATGAAATTATGAAAATGAATATGCCTTACGAAGTAATGGAAGTTAATTAATAATTAACTGGGAAATTAAAAAAAAGTTTCTCATTAACTGCCCATAAAGAAAAAATTGCTATGACAATAAAAATCAACTCAGAAAATAAAACTGGAAATTAAATGCCTCGGCCAAACCATGCTATTAAAGTTAAGCGTGCAAAGTTGCTCACAATTTACAACATCGTTAAGTAAGACGACTTTCATTTGTTACGAAATCTTAAAAGAATGTATATAAAGCTTTTCTGAAAATCTCTGAAAGTTACTTTCCCTTAAACATTAAGGATTTTACCACATAATTTCCCACCCCCAACCCTTAATAGCTGGTCAGGCCATTCCACCTTCATGTCTGAAAAATGGCAAACCAACAACACGCAATTATACAAATTATTTAAACTAAAACAGACATCAAAATGTGATAAGTTATGGGAACTGCAGAATGTGATGGTCAGGAGTGGCCCATACTGCAAAGAGCTAGGGACATGCTCCTCTGGAAGGAGTGAAGAGTTGTCAAATACAATAGATGACATCTTTAGTTAGAAAATGAAAATAAAAAAATCTCTCTATTTTCATAATTTTTCCTTTGCTGGGACCCAGATGTAAGGACCGGACTGCTCTTCTATGATCTGTTTCACCTGGTTGTAGATTTCTTCCAGCGTGTCTCCTTGGACAATAGCTGCAAAATAAAATATTGAAGTCAGAAAGTTCCCTTGCTGGCTCTGCAAACAAAGTGAGAAGTTCTAAACTTCTTTGCCGGCGAAAATTCAGATCTTCAGTGACCTGCACCCCAGTGGGCGAGACAAACAGGCAGTACACCACAGCAGCAGCAACGCAAAGGTGGGTTTTCCAGTCATCTGGGCATTACAGGAACTGAGGAGAGGCTCGTAGGGGCATGCTATAAACACTGCCCTGAGCTGTAACACCGCTGTGCATTGCAAGTTTGAACCAGAAGTCTTGGCAGATGCTGGAGGATATATAGGCTTGTTGCTCCTACCTACCTCTCCAAGGTTTATACTTTCAGGAAATGTGCTTGTGGGGGAAGAGCGGATTTGCTGTATGAAAGACCACAAATTACACATGCTCTGCACCTGCATGTGAGATAACTTGGGGGCATGTGGCTATTCTCCTACCTGGGGGATCATACTAGCAGAGAACCAATACCAATGACTAAGCAAGGCTAACTAACTAGAGGGAAAAAGACAAATCAGGATAATCTATTTCAAAGACATTAGGGCTGGAAGAGACCTTGAAAGATCATCTAGTCCAGCTCCCTGCCCTAGGGGCAGGGAGTCAGCTAGGGTCAAAGGATCTCAGCAAGATAAGCATCCAAACATTTCTTAAGAGTCCCGAGTAAGTGACTGCATGACATCTGGAGGGAGTCTGTTCTAGGCCTTGGGGGCTCAGACAGTAAAGAAGTTTTTCCTTATGTCCAGCCTGAAATGATTTTGGAGGAGTTTGTGACCACTGGTCCTTGTCATAGTTTCATAGTTTCTAGTGTCGGAAGGGACCTGAGCAGAACATCTAGTCCGACCCCCTGCCATGGCAGGAAAGAGTACTGGGGTCAAACGACCCCAGCAAGGTGTTCTCGTCCAACCTCCTCTTAAAGACCCCCAGGGTAGGAGCCAGCACCACTTCTCCTGGAAGTTGGTTCCAGATCCTAGCCGCCCTGACCGTGAAGTCGCGCCTCCTGATACCTAGCCTAGATCTACCCTCTGCCAGCGTGTGACTGTTATTCCTAGTCACTCCTGGCAGTGCTCAGGGGAACAGGGACTCCCCCAATGCCTGCTGGTCCCCCCTGACTAGCTTGTAACAGGCCACTAGGTCCCCCCTCAGCCTTCTCTTGTGGAGACTGAACAGGTTCAGGTCCCGTCGCCTCTCCTCATAGGGCCTGCCCTGCTGCCCCCTGATCATGCGAGTGGCCTCCTCTGGACCCTCTCCATGTTGTCCACATCCCTCCTGAAGCGCGGCGCCCAGAACTGGACGCAGTACTCCAGCTGCAGCCTGACCAGTGCCGCATAGAGGGGGAGGATCACCTCCTTGGACCTGCTTGAGATGCATCTGTGGACGCATGACAAGGTGCGGTTGGCCTTCCTAACTGCGTCCCCACACTGCCGGCCCATGTTCATCTTGGAGTCAATGATGACTCCAAGATCCTTTTCTGCCTCTGCACTGACGAGAAGGGAGTTCCCCAGCCTGTAGGTATGGTGCTGGTTCTTCCTCCCCAGGTGCAGCACCTTGCACTTGTCAGTGTTAAAACCCATCCTGTTCTCATCCACCCACCCCTGTAACCTGTCCAGATCTAGTTGAAGCTTGTCCCTCTCCTCCAGTGCGCCCACTTCCCCCCACATCTTAGTGTCATCAGCAAATTTGATCAGGGTGCTTTTCACCCCCTCGTCCAAGTTGCTGATGAAGATGTTGAACAGTGCGGGCCCGAGCACCGAGCCCTGGGGGACCCCACTGCCCACATGCCTCCAGGTCGAATATGACCCGTCCACTGCCACTCTGGGTGCAGCCCTCCAGCCAACTGGCGACCCATCTGACTGTGTAGGCACTGACGTGACAGTCGCCTAATTTTTTAATGAGAATGGGGTGAGAGACAGTGTCGAAGGCCTTCCTGAAGTCCAGAAAGACTATGTTCTGGTTGCCTACTAGGGTTACAGGCACCACTGGAACAGGTGACCTGGACACACTTAAACAAGAGGCCTGGATGAGCAATCCAAACTTGTGAAAACCAGAAACCAGAGTTACAGTCAAGAGCCGCCTCAGGGAAAATGGCACCCTGGGCGAACCTGTATTCTGGCAGCTCCCCCTCCCCTCCAAAGTCAGCAGTGCTGCTGCAGGGGTGCAGTCTGGTGGGGAGGTGGAGCTGCCTGCACTGCCTGACTCTGTGACTGTTTTCTGGTTTTCTGAGCTGCTTTGCGAAGGCGAGAGGCATCAATGGGCACTTAACTCTGTACTAGCAAAACTTTAAAGCAGTGAATATATAAATAAGAGTAGCATTTCTAGGACCAGCAGCTGGCAAAAGATAAACACTCCAAGCCTTAATACATACATTAAGTTTTACCGCAAGTAAAGATTAAAACCTTTGTCCACAAGTTAATTCATTAAGTGCATTGCAATGGTTTTAACACCATATAAAATTATCTGTACTGGGAACAAAGGCAGAGCCAGAGTGTATCTGATTCTGGTGAGACAGTTTTAGACAGTAACATTCCAGCTCCACGAAGGGAACAGTCGTGAGGGATACAAACCTGTGAAATGTTCAGTAAATTCTTGCTCCAGTTTCATGGCTCTCTCAAAAGTCTTCCTGGCCTGCTCCTCTGTTAAACGTTTATTCATTTCCCTGAGATGAATATAATAAAATAATCAGCAGCAAAAAATATTGGGAGTTCTCCTTAAACAAGGTGTTTGATTGCCTTTTGAATACAAATCCTAAGTCAGCCTTACCTCGATCCTGGGCAAGCTGTTCGAGAAAATTATTCTGGCACGCATCCAGGAGGGGCCAGCAGGGAACGGCATGCTCAGGGGCAACCAGCACGGGTTCATCAGCGGCAGGTCCTGTCAGACCAACCTGGTGGCCTTTTACGACCAGGTCACTAAATCATTGGATGCAGGGGTGGCAGTGGATATAGTTTTCCTAGACTTCAGGAAGGCTTTTGACACTGTCTCTCACCCCATTCTCATTAGGAAGCTGGGGG